CTGTTGTTAGAATTTATTTAATATTAATTTCTAGTATCAGCTGATGTTTGCTGGAGCCACAGCTGTAAACCTGCTGGTCATGATGTCGGTTTGGATATGTGGTGAGAGGGAAACATGAAGATGAAACCAGGAGATGTCCTTACTGAACCATCAGAGCTGTGATGGAGAAACAGGTATATTTTTGTCATGGTCTGCGTGGCAGACCGTGGGTGTGTGGGGAAGGAGGACCCAAAATGCGGATTAATGCAGTGCGATTATTTACAGTGAAGTAAACAATACACAATAATAGGTCTAGGTCCCTCAGACCCAGATCCCTGACAATTTTAGGCTGGGACTGAGCTACAGATGCATTTTGAAAAGCCTGGCACTGAAAGGAACCATTATTATGGAGAGACATTTAAACAGGATATTGAGAGCCCAGTTGCTTTGCAGACGTAAGTACAATCCGGGGTAGATTTTATTGTCAACCAACTGGGCCTGGGAAGGATCACGGTTATCGGTCAAGTGTTTCGTGCCCACAAATAAGTATTTCGTGCGCACGTTATACCCATTTCATGGCCACGAAGTAGTATTTTATGGCCACAATTTATTTATTTTTGGACCGTGTCATCAGAGGGGCTCCGTACATGCTAATATCACATCTTCATATTTTTTTTAGAGGTAAAAATAACTTTGCACTCTGGCTACTCACCATGCTCTAAAACAGGTATATGTTAGCAATGACAACATTTAACAAATGTTTTTAAAATTCTAGCCGTGCTAATTAGCCTTAGGATTGGTTGAGGTCTGTGCAAGCCTTTGGAACAAAATCAGTCTTGTAAAGCTCACTATTTTCCGGGTGAGCCTATAGCACATTTGTTAAAGTCAGTCCGGATTGTGCAGCTTCTAATCAGAAACAATTAAAGTTTGTTTCTTTTTTCTGCTCATTAATCTTTTTCTGTAAACAGGATAGCTGAAAAGTCTTAAATAACTCATGTTAAAATGTTGTAGAGTGGGGTCATGTTAACAATCCATTCAAACTTGTGGTCTTCAAGGTCAACTTGATGATTTATTGGTTGAAAATTGACAAAAAGCTTTAGAACTTAGAAACTATCATTCCTACAACTGTGCTGTGTATATGTCACAACATATAGCAGGAACCTATAAAGGTAGCTGACCTTTGACCTCTCCTTTAAGAAGGTACATGTAATGTCTACAGTGATTAGACATACTTAATAAAACAGTGTGGGGCACAGAGTACTGTTGTGCATCAGTGTGGAACATGTCAGTAACACTGAGGGTTACACACACTTTGCCAGGTACACCTGTTCGTTGCAAAGTTGATGGTGTGTGTGTGTCTCAAAAAGCTGTGGCTGGAAAAGAGAAAGGCGTTCAGAAGCGGAGACAGGGACTGCTACAGAGAGGCCAAGTACAGGTTCACTAAAGAAGTGGACATTGCTAAACATCAGCACTCTGAGAAGATGCAGCAGCAGATCTCAGAGAATGACTCGGCCTCTGTGTGGAAAGGTTTTAGGAATA